TGTGCAGGGAGCTGGGTGGAGGGCACTTTGAGTGTGTGTGTGTGTGTGTGTGTGTGTGTGTGTGTGTGTGTTTGTGTGATATGTGTGTTGTGATTAAGGACTTGGCTGAGGACAGGAGTCTGAGAAGTCCTAGTTCCCTCCTGGTGTACCCGATATGAGCAGGACCAGAGCCAAACGGTAGCTTCTTTGTGCCATGAACCCCTCACTCCTCATAGTACTGACTTTTTCAGCTCAAAGCATTTTCACATCTCAGCCTCATTTCATATCTGCCTTAGATAGGGGAGGGACAGTCAGTCACATCCTCATTTTATAGAGGGAAGTCGAGGCTGAGATGGAACCAGCCTCCCCAAGGTCACAGGGCTGGTAAGATGGTTATGAGGTAGGAAGGGATGGGCACACTGGTCTGGTTGGGGAGAGGGCTGTTCTTCATAAAACCCAGCATGTATAATATAATTTTATATACATCAGATTATACAGTGTATATTGGGATAAAGAAAAAGAAATAAATGCTAACCCTGCCCTCTCTGCTCCCCCAAAAAAGGCGATGAATGGCAGACACATTATAAAGTGTCGCAGTAAAAGGCTGTCTGAGCTGTTGGGAGGGCCGGGCTCAGGGAGCCAGAGTGGGTACAGGAAAAGTGCCTTGGCTTCACTGGTGTTTTTCCTACAGCAGGTGGGTGTGACTCAGCCAGTGGCTTCTGGGATAAATCCAGCATCAACAAATATCTCTCCAGCTCCACTCAAGTGCAGAGCTGCTCACAGGTCCCCCAAGATCCCTCTCCAGCTCCTCCTTCACACCTGAGCTCCCTTGAAGACTTCCCCTGCCCTGAGCCTGCCCTTTGTCTGGGCCCCTCCTGCACCTGCCCTCACCCACCTCTGCTGTACTTGGCCGGGCTGGGAAGGACAGCTTCTTAGTCACTTCTGTTAGGTCACTGTTGGAAAGTTCTAGGGCCTGTGTACTCTCTTTCCCCCCACTTCTGCTTCTCCAAGTGCCAGTTGGCTGTGTCCCAGGAGAACAAGGACAGGAAGTTGGCAGGGTTGGGGGTTGGGGGCAGAGTGAGAGTAGGGAGCTGGCCACTTAGCTAACTCACTTCTATATTCAGAAAGCTTGCTGAAGGGCTGGTTCCCTCCTGGTAAAGGGCACCTGGGTAAGGAGGCTCCAGTGATGGAGTGCCCACCCAGTCCTGGGCAAGCCCTCATCCTCCCTGGGCTTCAGTTTACCCATTTGTGCAAAGGCAGTAAGAGTTCCTGCTCTGATACTGACAGGCTGTGATGAAGTCATTAAAGGAAAGCACTTACTGTCAATCTCAAAGGGTAGTTATCTCTGCTATTCAGCCCACAGGCCTCCCTGTGTGCTGTTCCTCATAGCCTTGTAAGGTAAACCCCAGGGAGGTGTGGTCCAGGCAGAAACCATCCCTGTTTGCATTGGTGTGAGTACCTGTGGCAGGGCAAGGCGTGAAGGAATACAGGAAGGCACAGGAAACCTGGAGAATGCCTCCTGTGTTATTGGGCCCCTTGAGCATTAATTGAGCACCTACTATGTGTCAACCCCTGCATGGAGTTCTGAGGTCGAATAAGACATTGTTTCTGTCTTCCAGGAGCCCCAGCCTAGCAGAGGAGACAGATGTGTTTACTCGACTTCTCCAGTATGCTAGAGTGTCCCAGGCAGCCCGTGCTTCATGAGGCAGTCAACACACCTGTCTCAAACACCTCTCATGTGCCGAGGGCTCACAGATGGCTTCAACCTAAATCGCAAATGCTTGATGGTTCTCTTGCAGGAAGATCACGTCTTGGTTGGAATCAGACACACAGCCACCCCATGGTGCTAAGGGCAGTGCTGAAAAATGCTGGGGGCTCAGGAACTTTTTGGAGTCCTGGCCCCTGAGTACCCCCTCTCTCCAGGGTGGCAGGGAGAGAGACACTTAGTGGCCATATGGAAGGAGAGGAGTTCCCTTGATCCAGCTGGGATGAGCTCCAGCCACTTTCTCTCACCCCTGTAATGCCCCTTTCCTCAAGGTCCCCTTCGCTCCCTGCCCTGAACCAGGTCCTTCTAGATTCTGGCACCTCAGCCCTGCTTTCACTTCTACCCTGTTTCCAGTGGCACCTTTCTAAATGGTGTGTGGACACCTCTCAGCCTCGCATCCAGTACCCTTGCTCATCCCAGTGCCTCTGAGCACAACCCCAGGCTTGGGTCTGTGACAACTGGTACAGAAATTTCTGGCTCTGTCACTCCAGCCCCTCCCCCATTACCACAGTCTCTCATCAGACTGGATTCCTCTGGTTCCCAGAGAGCTGCGTTTCCCCCCCTCGAGGTACCTTTGCCCTCAATGTTCTCTCCTCGGATATCTTCCTTCACCCAGTCCTGCTACCTTGCACAACTTCAGGAGGACCCATTCGTGGAGATTTCTGTCATCAGTGCTCTCTGCAGTATAACCCACGAATGCAGTGTCTCTTCCCGGTCAAGCCCCCTATCCAGCACTCCTCCTCCCCCCAGGCTGAGTTCTCTTGCCCCTTCGAAGTCTCATGAGACTTTGCACCCATCCTGGCTTTATTGACTCCCTCTCTGTGTGTCTTCACAGAGTAAACATCTGTTTGCTGGGCTGATGTCCCCAGGGACTGGCGCATGGCTTGCTCTTGGTGACCTTCCCCACCCAGTTCTGGCCAAGCAGGCTCAGTCCCGGCAGGAACGGGGCAGGAACGGGGCTCACTGGCTGAAACTCCCGTGATGGAGGACAGGCTTCCTTCTTTGTTTGGCCAGACGGGCATCACCTCCAAGTTCCCCTCCTCTGGCAGGGTTGGAAACTGGTGGTGGTGAGAGATGGGAAGGGCAGATGAGGGACCCAGGACTCCCAGCTCCCTGCTCCTTGTTCCCTCAAACTGGACTTCATCAGGCTAATGCCAACACTGCTGGTAAGGCAAATGTATGGATGATGAAAATCTTAATAGTAGTGATTGGGCCAGTGATGAGGTTGATAAAGACACAACAACAGTAATCAAGGTGGGGCTACTCTTTGACCTTCCTAGGACTTCATCCTGAGATGGTCTTTCTGAGAATCCCCACCCCTGTCCACCCACCCAAGCCTGGAATGAGGGAGCCCCAGGGTGTGGGGACCCTGGTTTTCAGGCCCTGAACCTGGCCGGGCCTGGCCGTCCCCCTGCCCCGTGCATGTCCATGGGCTGTGACTCAGTGTCTGTCTCCCGGCTGACCTCAGCATGGGCCTGGGGGCAGGGAGAGAGGGCAGTTTCCTTTGAGATTGTGACTAAGGGGCCCAGGGCTGGGGCCTTAAAGTGTCTTTGTTGGCCTGGGCTCAGGAATCCAGAGAAACTGGTCAGGGGCAGGCCCCAGGGACTGAAACACCTCCCTCTGCTCCCGCCCCTCTGAAGAGACTTATAACCGCCCCAAGCTCTAGCTTGAGAGCGAGTGGTAGCTGTCATCAGGAAGAAACAGGTCTGGTCACACTCACTGGGCTTGTGCTTCTGATCGTTGGGAGAGACACTCAGTGGCTGTTCCAACTGGCTTTGCCTCCGGACTTGTAGTGAAAGGCCTCCCTGCGGACACTGAGTGTCCATCCTCAGCACTCGGATTTCTATAGCCCCAGGGTCGGATCTCCACAGACTTCCAGGTTCTAGACCCCAGCAGACGCTGAGCCATGGCCTCCATGGGGCTACAGGTGATGGGCATTGCTCTGGCCGTGCTGGGCTGGCTGGGAGCCATACTGAGCTGTGCGCTGCCCATGTGGCGGGTGACAGCCTTCATCGGCAGCAACATCGTCACATCCCAGACCATCTGGGAAGGCCTGTGGATGAACTGCGTGGTGCAGAGCACTGGCCAGATGCAGTGCAAGGTGCATGACTCGATGCTGGCGCTGCCACAGGACCTGCAGGCGGCCCGTGCCCTCATGGTTGTCTGCATCATCTTGGCTGTGCTGGGTGTGCTGCTGTCTGTGGTGGGTGGCAAGTGCACCAACTGCGTGGAGGACGAGAGCGCCAAAGCCAAGACCATGATCGTGGCGGGCGTGGTGTTCCTGCTGGCTGGCTTGCTGGTGATGGTGCCCGTGTCCTGGACGGCCAACACCATAATCCGCGACTTCTACAACCCGCTGGTGGCCTCTGGCCAGAAGAGGGAGATGGGCGCCTCGCTCTACGTGGGCTGGGCAGCCGCGGGCCTGATGATGCTCGGTGGCGCCTTGCTTTGCTGCAATTGCCCACCCCGCACTGACAAGCCCTACTCGGCCAAGTACTCTGCCGCTCGCTCGGCCCCCACCAGCAACTACGTGTAAGGTACCGCCCTTCAGCTCTCCCTGTCGGCTTTGTTTTTCCTGGGACTGAGCTCAGCTCGGCCTGTGACCTCAGGATGGCCCTGCCACAGGCTGCTGGGGGCTGGGCAAACAGGAACTGAGCCAGGCAGTTGGCCGGCAGCCCTTAGCCCTTACTGGCCCTCTCGGACACCTTCCCAAGGCCTTCTCTACACCAGCAAGGATGAACTGAAAGAGACTTCCGAGGCACCCTCCTCTGAATGGCCGGCGGATACAGGCCTGTGGCAGCAATAGGGTGTGGCAGTGGAGTGGGGAGCTGGCTCTTGCTGGCCAGGACAGCTCAGCCCTGACTCTACTTGGGCTCTGCCTCTGAGTGGATGCCCAGCCCATACCCTTGTTGGCCACTGTTCCCTTCTTTGATCTTCCCCACCCCCTTTGCCTGGATCCTGTGGAAACCTGTGGCCATGAGAAAGGCTGGGGCCTCTCTCATCCACCTGCCTGTGGAGCACAGAGTTTACACAGAGTTGACAGACAGGTTTAGAAGGGAGGGTGAAGCTGCTACAAACTGGTTTGGGTAGTTGTGGGGGAGGCAGCTATAGAGGTGGCCTTGGCTACCTGTACCCCTTCCCAGTGCTCTGAGACAGAAGCCTCAGCAGAAGTACCCTGGGCCTCTCATGGCCACTTCTGGATCTGCTGTCCCTGTGAAGGTCATTGGTCAGCCTGAGGCAAACAGGGGGGACGGGGACGGTCTTTCTCTGGCCTTCATCCCAGAAAGCCTTGAGGCTTTTTCCTGCGAACTTTGCGGTTTCTGTTTTGTAATTTAAGATCTATTTGTCACAATAATTACTGTTATTTTCTACAATAAATGGGACTTGTGCACAGGAAGACTGTACGTTTCTGATTTCCGCTGCGGAGGTGGGCAGGGCAGGGCTAGAGGCCTGGGCAGTGCGTCGTTGAGGGGCAGGACCACTGTGTTGTGGCAGGAACAGGAACACTTTAAAAACTGGTTTCAGGAAATTATGAAAAAATTAGAACTGGCCTAACCTTTGGAAACACCTTGTTCAAGCCTTTCATTTGTTAGAGGCTGAAGCCCGTACACAGGAAACAGTGTGTGCCCAGAACCCTGGTGAAGTGTTGGGGATTCTAGGAGGGAGGACAGATGAGAACACCCAGCCTTGGGGAATGGGCCACCTGCCATCTCCCCATCTCTGTCCCAGCTTTGTCTGGGCAGCCAGGTTGGTTTGCTCACCTTTCGGGTCCCACCTCCTGTCCTTTGCTCAGGCTCTCCCTGCCCTTGGCCTGGAATGTCCTTTTTCCATTCTCCACCCCTCCGAATCCTGTTTATCCTGAAGGCCCAGCTCCGAACCTCCTCTTCCATGAAGATTTCTTCCCACGGCCCCATCTGGAGGAATTATCGCCACCTCTGTTCATGGGCAGCCTCCAACCCACGCCCTGAGCTCTGTGTTTCAATCCCTTTAGAGATGAGGATATTGAGTCCTGGACATGTCAGTATTTGGCTAAGGCCCAGATTTGGGAATGTGAGTCTTCTGATAGGTGAGTTAGAGGTGAGAGGGCCACCACCCTGGGAGGAGTCATAAAGTCACATCTGTAGCCCTATTATGCCTGGCTCAGGGACAACTCAGAGTGCCCCGGGGCCCTTTCTGTCCTGTTTCTTCTTATTTCTGTCCTCCACAGGGACAATGTCACTC